CCTGCAGCAGTTAAATAACATGGTGTGTGGAAGCACCCAGTTTCAGGCTATTTGCAGTGTGTGTTAGTTAAACAAGAGCTCTTGAAGTTGCCAGTTGAGTGTGTGCTGTTTTTCATTATGGAGTGGGGTGAGCAGAGGAATGCTCTTATAGCACTCCCCACTCTTTCAACCTCTCACCCTCTCATTGCCCCCTTGTTTCTCTCTTTGAACTTCCCCTCTTCTCATTTTGCGTCTTTCATGTGTTCTCCACCATCTCACATCTCCGCATGTCTCTGTTCCTCACGTCTCACTGTGTGTTTGTGTGTGCAGCTGTGATTTCTCAACAGTCATATCTGCACCTACATGTGAGGAAACGTGTACTACTGTACCTAGAATTTAAAAAAAATTATAACAGCCTATACATCAGTACAAGCACTGCCTTTAAGGCAACAAGATAAAGGGATAGCTCACAAAAAAAATGAAAATTATCATAATTTACTCATCCTCATCCTCAACTTTGTTTCTGCAATGCCACACAAAAGAGAATATTTTGAGAAATTTCATTTTTGAGTAAACTATCCCTTTAATACAGATCAATAAAGTGATTTTTTTTTAGTTGTGTTTAGTCTATTTGTTCAATATTTGCTTGAACATTGAAAAGAGTGAATGTGAACACTGAAGAAAGATAGTATAAAATCGGTTATATTGAGCCATTTTAGCACTTAAAATGGTCACTCTAAAGTTTGAAGTTTTTATCTGTTCTTTTTTATTCTTTATCCCAATATGTCCTACTTTGGATCTTTTGGTGATGTTATGCCCTTTTGTTCCTTCTGCAGCTTTTGTTAGAGTGTGTGTGACTGAAACAGACTGTCAATAGCAAGATAAATGGCGAATCTTTTTTCAGCACAGATTTGTCTTCTCTCCGTCTGCTCTCATTCTGCTTGTCTTTTCTTTTTCTTTGGTGAGGTAGATCTTTTGATACTCTTCACATACAAGGTCAGATAACTAAGTCACTAATCAAACTACTCAAAAACTTTATGCTTACTTTTCTGAACAAAATCCCCTCCCTCAAGCATGCACACAAGGATAATAAAGGCACATAAAAAGAAAAGAATGCCATTGACCTTCAGTGAAAAGAAATAGGATCAGAAGTGGGTTGAGTCCTGCATAGTACAGAACACACATACTCCAATAAGGTCAGACAGTTTCTTTTTAAAGAAGTAATTCATCCTAAAAAAATGTAAATGATTTACTCACCAAGAAACTCAATAATAATAATAATAATAAGTGACATTTAAGTCATTATTCACTGATAATCTTCAGCTCCAGTGAGCAGTTAAGATTCGGGGTCAGTAAGATTTTTTTCTGGAAGAAGTCTCTTATGCTCACCAAGACTGCATTAATTTGATCAATAATCCATTAAAACAGTACTATTGAGAAGTATTATTACAGTGTAAAACAGCTGTTTTCTATGTTAATATATATTTTAAAAATTGAATTAAGTCCGTTGATGGCAAAGCTGAATTTTCAACAGCCATTAATCCAGTCTTCAGTTTCACATTATCCTTCAAAACTCATTAAAATATGCTGATTTGGTGCTCAGGATTTTCTTATAATAAGTGTTAAAAACAGTTGTGCTGCTGAATATTTTTGTAGAAACCATGATGCAGTTTTTAGGGTTGTTTGATATGTACAAAGTTCAAAAGAACAGCATTTATTTAAAATAGAAATCTTTTGATACATTATAAATGTTGTTAACGTTTATCATTTGTATAAACTATTTTGTGGTGTTTTTTGTCATTTTTTAAACTTAACATATTTGGTCACAATGACCTGTTGTTCTGTGAAAACCTGCATGAAAAATTCCTACTTGTATCCCACTAACGAAATAAAACAATTGTTAATAATGACATAATTTCCCTTTTTGGCCGAACTATCCCTTTAAGAAAGTTCTCCAGGAGTCTGTAAGATAAAAGCACATTCTAGACATGTTGTACTTATCTCTCACTCTCTCTCTCTCTCTCTCTCTCTCTCTGATTGAGCATGCAAGAGATACAATCCTTTAGAAAGTACTTCAGTGTCCATCACTTTTCTCTCACACTCATACTCATGCACACAATCTTAAACTGTGGTGAATGAAATCCCAAGAGTCCCAAGTGTCTAAGTCTAGCAAAGTCATGAGAACAGGAAATGACCTCGATTCTGATTTTGCCCCCAAGTGTGACCTCAAGCAAACAGCTTGTGTTCACTGTTCAAGCAAAGAACAGTGGACCAATGTGTGGTGTTGTGAGAGTGCTACATATTTTCAATACGTCTACAGGGACACAAGGGGGGAATATCTGGCCATAATCCTAATGCTCGGGTTTAACAAGGGCTGAATTGAAGTAATTTAGTGTGATTCTCAGTTTGACTGCTTTATGGCACTGGGCTTGTTGTCACCTGGGGAGTTACAGGAGTCAAACAGAAGGGGGTTGGGCAGGGAATCATTTGAAAGCAGGGAGGTTGAATGGATAACAATAGGCAAATTGAATAGAGTTGAATTTCTGTGTATCAAGCTTCCCTGAAAGAGACTTGATACTCACACAGACGCCCCAACAGGTGGTGCGACGTGTGTTGCATTGTATTTGCAGATACTGAGACCCTGATATTGTCTTTCCCCAGATATGTTAAAGGGATAGTTCACCTAAAAATGAAAATGGCACCATCACTTATTCACCCTTTTGTCTTTAAAAACCTAATTATACTGGTTTGGAATGACATGAGGGTGAGTACATGATAGGATTTTCATTTTTGGTAAACCACCTCTTGTACACGCCAACTGTGATGTCACTCTATATGTAACCACTCAAGAACTTGTTTAATTGCACATTTTTTTTGTCATAATCTCTAATTGTTGCTAGTAAATCACTTGCAAATGAGTGTGCATGTGTGTCTTTGTGTCCATCTGTTCTGCTGTATTCCAGCTGCTTGACCCACACCCTCAGTCCTGGCTCCTGATTGGCTGATGAGAACCATGTCTGGAGAAGCTAGTTTAGGCCCCTTATGAGGATTCACATCTAAAACCTGGACTGGACTTTCTTTAAGACTGGAATAGAGCCTTGATTGGGACTGCAGTGTTTTAATTTGTGTCGGTCTTGCATTGATCTTTGACACAAACTGTATAATGGAATCCATTCAGCCATGCCAGCTTATAGTAGGGCTCCACTGTCCATTTTTGTTAGAAGACAACACAGTTATTGGCACAACTCCGGGATATCATCTGGACAGGTTTCAAACCTCCAGCCTCTGGCCAAGCCTTTTATCTCACAGACGGGTTTGCTTTCGCTTTGCACCTGGACTGGTTTTTCAAAATTCCTCAGTTGAGGGATTGAACTGGATTGTTCATTGTGCTTGCAAGGCAGTTGCGTTTTTAGAAAATTCTGGATTTTTTTTTTTGCCAACAAATGTTCTCCATATGTTTGAGTGACCTTTGATGTTATTTGTGTGTGTTAAATGAATTCAATATGGTTCAAATTAGGGCTGCACGATTAATCGCATGCGATATTTAACGCGCATCTTATCAGTAATGGCTCATCTCAAACATCTGTGGAACGATGCAAAGGTTCATTGTTCATTTCATTTAGAGGTAAAGTGCCCTTTTTGTACCTCTTGTATCACTCAAGGGGACAGGGTTTGGCTGAATACCATGTAAATACTTGTTAGCCCCTGCTGGTAGACGCCATACTGTAGCTTTGCCATCTAGCTGAAAAATATACTAGATGGAGTATTTTTTTCTCTCCTAGCAACTACTCTAATAGTAGCCATTTTACCAGTGGGTGTTTTAGGGCTCTTAAAAGCATGACTTTTCTGTATATTTTCACTGCCTGTCTGCTGCCTGTGCCATCACAACTCATAAATGAAGAGATTTCAGATCGCATGCTTTTGTAGGCAGGTGCCATTGAGATGAATAGAAATTATAATGGCAGGCTTTATATTGTTATAATGTGATCTAATTTGGATATTCAAAATTCAAATTAGAATTGGTCCAAAAAGAAAAGAGAGGGAATTGTTTTAAAGCAGAAGTCTGATGAACTTCATCTTTTATTTTTTAATCTTACATAAATGCACAGTAAAATGAATAAAACCTAATTATTTTGTTTATGAAGTTTAAATGTATCATGGTTTCCTCAAAAATATTAAGCTGCCTAATAAATGTTTCTTGAGCAGCAAATCAGCATATTAGAATGTTTTCTGATGGATCATGTGACACAGAACACTGAAGTAATGATGCTGAAAATTCAGCATTGCCATCACAGGAGTAAAGTATATTACAGTTACAGTTATTTTAAATGTAATAATATTTTAAAATTTACTGTATTTTTGATCACATAAGTGCAGCCTTTGTGAGCAGTGAGCAGAAATTATTTCTTTTTAAAACTGACCTTTATACCTCATGGTAGTATTTATTGTACTGTTTTAAATTTGATGATTTAAATAAACAATAATTGTATTACAGTATCAAGAATGATACTGAAAAATGACTGAAATTACACCAGTAAAATGTAAAATGTAAAATGCATAGCGCTAAAGAGAATTTGATGTCACAATGCAAAATAACATTTTAGTGGTACTAAAAGTATGCTAGTTGTCTTTATGCAATATTATTTCGTATTTGTATTTATAATTTTTTATTGTAATTTTTTTTAAATAAAACTTAAATGTGACTGAGAAATGTTCTTGACAAGTTCTTATGTTCCACCTTCTCCTGATCCAGCCCTGGTTTTCACACAAACTCTTCGTACAAACTTGGTCTTCTGGCTCTCTCTCTGTCTGTCTTCAATGGCATACCTCTGCCTTCCCACTACTTAGAGACAAAGTGTGTGTTAGAGAGAGAGAGAGAGAGAGAGTGAGCATGTGGCACTGAAGAGCCTTTTGAGCTTTTCCCCTCTCAGTGAGAAATCAAGCAACAGAAAGAGAGAGAGACAGAAAAAGCAAACACCCCCCCCCTACAGTTGGACTTTTCCCAGACTTGAGTGCTGGAATGGATTTCCTCTGATACTTTGGATGTCACTTCACAACTGTGGAGTTTATGCACAGAAGGGATCTTTAAAGTTTTGTTGACTGAGCGTGTGTATGAGAGGCGTGTGTGTGACAGGAGCGTGCTAGGAGCTATGTCAGGTGTTACACGGAAAGGTTCTGGGAGACCAGGATATTACTACAGACTCCTGGGTCGAACGAGGCTACAGAGACAGCGCAGCCGCTCCAGGAGTAGAAGCAGAGCCACAAACAATAGGGGTAAACATCTTGTTCTAACTTTACTACATTGTTTCTGAAATATTCCCTCCGACCTTTTAAAATACTTTTATGTGTTGTTAATGGTGCAGTATATATTAATATTTCCCATAACAGTTACATTTGTCACACTTACCTGCAGTATGTTAAGTTTGTGTGTGAGATTTCTGTTGTTGCCACAGTAGTAAAACATCATAACAGCCCGTCTGTTAGAGTGCAGCTGCCATAAACACGGTTATTACCACGTTGTTTATGGCAGCACTCTTCTGAGTACTTCACTTTTTAGAAAAGCTTTTTAAACTTTATTGTAATTCTGAGTAAGAACATCATTGAATGAATGAACTCTAAGAAATGTAACTCACTTTAATTTGCACTATTTTTTAGATCTAAAAAACTGTATGCAAACACTTCCTTTTTAACCATGAACCAGAGTTGCTATTAATGTGTTTCTGTTCGAATATTGTTTTGTTGCGTGTGTGTGTGTTAATGAGGAAAAAATGTGAGTGATGCTCAGATATTGTTGTCTAATCACAGTTTGTCAGTTGTCGAAGTGTGAGTCTGTGCTTTAGTAGTGGGACTTTTTTTGGAGATTAAATTGTTGGTGGAAGTAGGTGTTTTTGTGTATCATGAAAAAGTAATTGACACATTCACTCAGCCAATTCATTCAAAAACAACTAATTCATGCAGTAACCAAGTGCCACTTACTGTATGTTGCTTGGCAATGCTGAAAGACTGATTCTTGGACTTTGGAAGTATTTTCTTTTGTTTTAATATAATATCAAATTTGACAAATGTATTTATTCATAACGAAGACATAGTACTGAGATGTGAAGTAAAGTGTTAACTTATGTTTCATAGAAATATTGTATAAAGCAACATCAACATGGAGCAATCAAGGTGGCCTCATGTCTGTGGCCTGTGGCTGTTTTGACATTCAGTACAAAAGCATATTGTATTTAATGCAAAATGTTGTATTGTAGTTTCTAGCTGATCTTGAATAATTGGTTACTGTATAAGAAACTTAGCCACTCTGTCAGTTTAGTGTTAGTTGTAACACCTTAGTATCACCGGATAAAACCACAGAAGCCATAAAGTTAGTTAACGAGCCCTCACGCGAGCGGGTGGAGTGAGCGCCTGTTGTGGAGAAGCGGTTATTATCAGCTGTAACTTTACGGCTTAACAACAAGACAGGTGACCAGCCACAAGGATTGAACCTTACACACCAAACGCGCTCTTACTCACACAATTTTCCAAACCAGTCAAGCAGGAACTCCAGTACTTTAGTATGGCCCAACAAGCTTCTGCTCTCTCTCTTTCTCTCTCACACACACACACACACGCACTGAGTAATTTCAGATGTGATGACTGAGAATGGCTTCTTTAAACTCTCATCCAGGTTATGGCTATCTAGGCTCATTACACAGGGGGTCGATTGAGATCCCTGAATCATTCAAACTTAATTCAGTCACTGAGAGAATCGATTCATGTAGTAGATGAGGTGCTTTGCGATGGGGCTTTGTAATGGCACAGCTGTTTTGGGGACTTGGCAGGCTCAAGGTGACATCACTGTGGTAAACTTTTGAGTTTGAGTAAAAGGTTTGAGAAAACAGAAGCAGTGACTTAAGAGAGGTTCTAACATTTAGGATAGATGTCTTGAACTCAGTATGTTTGTTTATTTGCTTGAATGATAATGATATTTTCTGTTCAGTGAGATGTGGGTTTTACTTTATCAAGATTTTTGTTTGACAGCAAGAGAATCCGGAAGTTTTCCAGTGGGATGATTGTCATAGAAGATTTTGCATGTTTTGTGGGTGTGGATCTACTTAACTGTCAAGCTGTATGTTAAAAGATCAGTTCTTGTTTACAGTTCTGCGCTTATTCATGTTAAGTAGGGATAATATTGCAATGTCTATTAGGGTTGGGTGATATGCCTCATTGTCATACGTCCTATCGTCAGCTTGTGAGATCTCCATGGTACGGCTAGAAGCAGCCTAATGTTAGTATAATCTATTAACTAAACATGTCTTTTTAGTCAAGTAGCATATGGATGTCCAGCCCTCTACGAACACCTTGGCAATTGAATCGCCATTGGCTAGTAAATTTTTTAGTTTACTCGCCAGACTGATAAATATATATATATATGTATATATTTGTTTGTTTGTAAAATGGCACAGCTTTGTAAATATCTGAAAGTACACTTGTAACATCAGTCAGTCAAGCATTATAATATGATAATCAATATTATTTAATGATAGAACTTTAGTAATTAGAATTAAAACTTGATAACCATGTATATATGCATATTAGTCATTTTAACTGAACTTTGGACTGGTGGTGGTGCTTTTTTGGTCATTCAGTGTTTCTGTAAAAAAATAAAAAATTTGGGGAAAACTAACAAAAATACTGATAAGATAATAATGATACGAATTCTATTCTACTAATAATAACAATATAAAACGCACCAAGGATTAATGAGCTACTGGATTCATGAATATTAATCAGGTTGTGTGCGTTCGCTCGAACTGATTTGCTGAAATCAAAACAGGGACAATAATAGGTGAGCGCCAGCCAATGAGATTGCCGTTTGCGCATTAGTTCCGCCCACTACCGGAGAAAGCGGTAGTTCTTAAAAGCTGAAGAATTCCAAAGGAACTCACAAAGGATACAACAAAGAATATCGTTTACATGTAGCGCGCATAGGTAGCGCGTCAATTATCTCTCTCCCTCTCTCCTGCGTGTGTGTGAAACAAAGCGACGGCGAGTCATGCGCTTCACACTAGAGTTTACGGTACGTTAAATACAGGTGCGTTGCACATCCATTCAGATGAACTGAAAAACAGCACAGATCGCTTGGCGGAGAGTGAAACTCTGAAGCGCTCAGTCAGAGAGTGTTCGGCGAGTGAAAATATATCTGAGCTAAACTTATACTTAGCCTCCAACTCACACTGGCGAGTAAAATCTGAGAATTTATTAGCAATTGGCTAATATTAGACATTTAGTCGCCCAGAGTGAAGATTTAGTCGCATATGCGAGTGATTTACTCGCAATATAGAGGGTTGATGTCATATTTTTAATATGACTACATTTGTATTTAAAGGGATAGTTCACCCAAAAATGAAAATTTTCATTAATTACTCACCCTCATGTCGTTCCAAACCTGTAAGACCTTCGTTCATCTTCAGAACACAAATTAAGATATTTTTGATGAATTCTGAGAGCTCTCTGACCCTCCCATAGACAGCAAGGATCCTAACATGATCAAGGTCCAGAAATGTAGTTAGGACATTATTAAAATAATCCATGTGACATCAGTGGTATAACCGTTTATTCGACAATTCTTCTCCTCCGTGTCACCCTATAGCGCCATTTTGGGGAGTATCACATACGTAAACAAAGTATACTGTTCTGTGTCAGCAGCACCGTACACGGATACACTGTTTACGTTGTTTACGCTTTGACCTGAACGTAAACAACGTATCCGCGCACATTCCTTGCATACGTTGTTTATGTATTTGATACTCTCCAAAATGGCACCAGGGTGATGCGGAGGAGACGAATTGTTAAATAAAGTCATTATTTTTGTTTTCTTTGCACACAAAACGTGTTCTCGTAGCTTCGTAAAATTACGGTTGAACCACTGATGTCACATGGATTATTTTAACGATGTCCTTACTACGTTTCTGAGCCATGATCGTGTTAATTACATTGCTGTCTATGGGAGGGTCAGAGAGCTCTCGGAATTCATCAAAAATAACTTAATTTGTGTTCCGAAGATGAAAGAAGGTCTTACGAGTTTGGAACGACATGAAGGTGAGTAATTAATGACAGAATTTTCATTTTTGGGTGAACTATCCCTTTAACATGATCACAATTTAATAAAAACATTGTAAGCTACTAATTATAATGCTTACATCTCCTCAGTTATTCAGCAGCTACAGAAAACAAGTAAATAACATTTACATTATCAAAGAACATCACTCATGTCCATCTAGTGCGAATTTTATGCATTTTTAAAAATCACTCCCGTTATAATCAGTGAAACAATCTCTTATACTTACATTGCACATACATCTGCACTTTGTTTGTTATCCTGAGAGAATTCGCACGAGAGCAGAATTCAGTCAGCAAGCGCTCACACTGACAACAAAACTCATCTGAACGCCTCTAATTGGCCAATGCCTTCATAAACTCAACAGAATCACGCGTGATTGGTTATAACGCGCAACACTGTAAAAACGCGTAAAAAAAAATCTGATGGGACAAATAAGCCCTAATATTAATTAGATAATACTTGCCTAATAATAATAAAAATAATAATAATAATAATAGTAATAATCGTCTTGATATCATCAAGGGCATCAGCCACAGGCGTTATTTCTGGCTATCGTTGATACATGATACTATCGTCTTATCGGCACAACCCTAATGTCTATGTGTGCATGGAACATCACTGTTACTGTTACTATTATTATTATTATTTCTTATTTATCTTGTCCTCCAGTAAGTAACCAGTATTTCAAAGAGCCGAGTAATAAAAAGTAAAACATACACACTCATTATTCTCGTGTGAAGGTGCACGTCACCGGTGGGATCATGCAAATTGAGTGTACAGGGAACAGAATTATAAGCTTTGTTATCTGCGGTGCTTGTTTTGGTTCTGCTGACTGATAGCTTATCAGTTCATGCATGACAGAAGATGGCAGCACTTTGGATCTGAATATTCAAATACTGCACCAGTATGAGGTAATGGCGCCTCCATGAGCTCAACTCTATTACACAACCAATTACACACACACACACCTCACATGGGGTGGATAAACACACATACTGTAATTACCCTGTTTAAACTCATGTTTGAGAACATGCATAGGACTGGAGAGAAAATTGTAGTCTGTGTATTTACGTCCAGCACAGCCAGCTGCATGTGAGTGTTTGTGCAGTGTTCTCTGTCTAACTCTTCCTTCCTTCCTCCCCTGTTCATTTTTGATAATACAGCATTACAT